TGTTTGAGTTTATATTCTGTCTTAACAATTTCTGGTGAGTATCCTTTTACTCAAAAGATGGGTTAAAAAGTGACTTTTAATTAAAAATTAAAAAATTAATCTGTACAGTGATTATTTCAAAATAAACAACATTTTATTTCAGCATTTAAAATTTGATATCTTTATATGTTTCTTTTCAGTTATATTTTATAATAATTTTCAATAGGTTGAAAGACTTGAAGCCAAAGTAGTTGAACCTTTGAAAGCTTATGGAACCATTGTAAAAATGAAACGGGTAAGTAAATCTATTTTCTTATCCTATTATTAGGTATTCTGGCAAAGGGCATGAGGTTTCCAACTCTCCTTTTAATATAAAATACAAATTACATGGAATCATTCTGTTTCCATATCTTTCATGTCTGAAAGATAATTTCTTGGATATTTAAAAATAATGAAATATTTTTAGTGAGCTTACTAAGTATACTACTGTAGCAGCATAAGACATTACTATGGAAGTTTAAATATATTTAATATTTATAGTCATGAAGACTGTATGGACAGAAATTGTTTTATTAGATGAATATGTTTATTTTTGTTTTTATATATTTTTTCAAAGCAGATGACATTTGTACTTTTAAAATGAATGTGACAAAGTTCTATTTTTAAAATCAATATATAATTTACATGTAATAAAATTCCTTCCTTTGTAAGTGTTCAAATGTGTATGCCTGTGTAACCACCACCACAATCAAAAGTATATATGTAAATATATTGTATGGTTGTAGCTTTGCATTGAGTGTCATTATTTTGAGAGATTTTTAAAGAAACATGCATGCTCTTTCTCTCCCTTTTTCTGACACACCCCCTGCAATAATAATATTTCCTATGATAATGGTGCCTGAATGAAAATAAAAGCATTCTTCCTTTCATAAAACAGTGTGTCTTATTTCTTAAATCAGAAATTCACAAAAAATGCTTATTTGCAGGATGACCTCAAAGCAACACTAACAGCAAAGAATCGAGAAGCTAAGCAGTTAAGTCAATTAGAAAGAACACGGCAACGAAACCCATCTGATCGACATATAATTGTATCCTTTGAATTTTGGTCTTAAAAAAGTGTTTTGTAAGGTATGCAGTACAAAAGTAAATGTGTATGGAAATTATTCATTTATAGTTTTAAATTGTGGAGACTTTTAATATAATGCTGAAAATGAAAAAAAAAACTGTATTTAGAAGTTCTCACTATAGAAATTAGCTCATTATAAAGAGATTATACCACCTAACTCAATTCCCTTATATTGTTTCCACAAACAAACAAACAACCCACTCATAAATGCAGATGTTTTCAGAGTAAATTCAAATTTTTGAGTTGTTTTTCCATGGTGATTACTAAACATTAATTATAAAATTAAAGACCTATCATTACTGCTAATATATCAATGCCTTTCTGTCCCACTTTTGAAAAGAGGAAAGAAAAAATCCTATAATAATTCCCTTCATCCTTTAAAAAGTAACTCACGTGAAACCATAATTATGACTTTCAGCCAAATACCCTCAGGAGTTTCAGAGAGTATACTGAGGTCCACAGACGGACACAAAAGAATCTAAATAGGAGTATCTGCTGAAACAAGGTCCTTATGGTAAACATTACTATTTCCTAACCTAGAATGTACCTTGTTCATGACTAATAAAAACATAAAATAGTTGCTAAGTGCTAGCAATGAGGATAGGTAGGACTGTGTAGAAAACACTAACTTATCCCTGCTGCCTCTCTTTCCCATTCCTTATGTGTCTCCTTCCTACTTCCTTAAGGTTGTTACTACTCAGCTCAGCCAGAAACCACATGAGGAGTGGCTCTTTGGGGGCATTTGAGGTTCCAGAACACCTCCATTCCTGAGGGGAGTCCCTCGAACAGTGATCTGGGGCTGCGCCAGTTGCCTGGTCCTTCTTCCCATGGACCAAAGGTACATAAGCCCAACCTTATACTTAAGAAAAATGGGCAGCCTAAGGGCTGGAAGTACCCTTTGGAGGCTCTGATAGGAACATCTAGACAATTGTTGAGGCTTAAGATCTCAAACTAGAGATTATAGAATCCATTTTAAGCACGTCAAACCAGAGAATGCTGGAAAATTCATGACTGACACCTAGAAATCAAGTCAGAAGCCAGGCAAGAGCACCAGTATTTAAGAATTAAGCTAGATATCAATATTTTCTTTGTTTTGTTCTTGGCGGGTAGGGCTATATGAAGACAGGTAAAATATAACATCTGGAATCCCAAGCAACTGGCAATTAAAACAGGAATAATAGTATTGATACTCAATACAGAAATGAAAGCATTTCTAGATGAAGATTTTTTCTGACTTAAGTGTTCTGTTTGGGAAGGATTAAAAGCAACAATAGAAAAGATTATTGTTATAGGTGAATTGATTTGCTCACTGGTAAGATCTACAACTTACGTATTTTGACAACCTGAGGCTAGAAAATAAATGCAATCTACAGATAAATGTATTCAATAAAAATATAAAAATATTCAATCATAGCATCATAGTATTTTTACCAGGATACATCCTTAAAATTCAACTGACTCTTTGTTCAGAAGTATTCTAAAGTTCAATATGTAAAATAAAATGAAGTCCCTCTAGTAAAGATAAGAATCCGGGCTACAGATATATATAGCTCAATCAGTAGAGTGCTTGCCTCGTAGGCACAAGGCCCTGGGTTCAATCTCCAGTACCACACACACACACACACAAAGATAATGAATCCTAGATCTTTGCCAGCTCACTACTTAGGCCAGCCCCAGGTGACTTCTGAACAAGCTTCCTGTAACAAAGTTTGAAAAACACCAATCTGGCTCCCCCTTTTATAATTATCTGAAACTCTTGACTGATTCCTTTAATATAATGATAGCTGTATCTTAATATTTTAATAGCATATTCTACTCAAATTGGCATACTGGAGAATTTTTAAGAATTTTCAGTGAAAGGAAGAAATATTAAAAAATCTATATTCGCTTTCCTAAAACTAGCTGTGAGACTCTGGATGAGTTATTGTGCTCAGACAAATGTATTTCAGACTTTCAAAAATGAATACAAGTTGCTGAAGGATGGTAAGTTAAGATAGAGGTCCCAGCTATGGCTACTATCCCCAATGCTTTCCTAGTTTAGTGAACTCTACATATACTTATATGTTTTTATATGTTTTAAGGTGACAATATCAATAATTGGGAAAGAAAAAGACATGAATCAAAAGGAAATAGTCACAAGAACTGAATCAGTTATATTTAATAGTATTAGGAATTAATTTGCTTGAATATTCTCAGCAAAACATTGACATCAAATACTGATTTTTTTTCATTATAAATCTCCAAAACAGTTCTATATTACATTTCTGTGACAAACTCCTAAGCAAAAAATATATATATATGTGTGTGTTTATATATATATATATTTAATACCAGTTATGATTAAGCTGAGAGTTTCTGTGGATAGACTTTACATTCCATATGATAAATGTATACACAGATATAAATGAATTCATTTTTTAGTGTTTGATATCTTGAAATTGTGTAGCTAAGTATATAGTTCTGTAAGAATACATGAGTTTAGTTTACTGAAAAAATTGTTCTCTTTGAAATGTATTTTTTCCTTTATGAAAAATTCCAGTCACAGGTGGGTAATAAAGTGGTGTATCAAGAAATGGATCCTTATAGTAAACCCTTTTACTTATTTCAATTTATACATTTCCTTAAAAAAGAAACCAATGGCTAAATGTCACAATATTACATATCATAGAAATTAAATGACAAATGCAAATTTTCCCCAGTTATTAAATGATTATATATGACTTTTTAATAAATATAATTCTAGCATAAGAAACAACTTGATTAGAATTTAATCAGAAAATTGGGCTATGACTTTAAAAATCTCTGTTATTGTTGAAGAAAACAAATGTGTTTGGGCAAACTACTGTCTAAAGAAAGAGATGTTTAAAGAAATAGATATGAAAACTGAACAAACTACGTTATGTACACATACTAATATGTAACAACAAATCTCACTGTTATGTATAATTTTAATGCACCAATTTTAAAAAGAAGTACATGATTAAATTGGAAATGTTCAGCATTCAACAGTACTTTGTCACTGCATATGACTGTTGAGTTCTTGAAGTGTAACTAGAATACCTAGGAACCAGTTTCCACATTTGTATTTAAGTTTAATTAATTTAAATGTAAATAGCTATATGCAGCTAGTGGTCACCATATTGACTACACAGCACAGATCAAGATAGTTGTAGTACATTTCAGCATACATAAAGCAAAGCATTAAATTAGTTATTAGTGTACAAATTTTTTAATATGTATATGCTACATAGAAATAGTGTAATGTTAGTATCTGAGATATTTGTAGGGTATATACTATTCCACTGGATTAAGAATATTATAAAGTTAGAACATTTGAAGAACTATTAAACCTAAGCAAGGTGGTGTAGTAAGAGACTTTAGATATATACTTGCTAACCTTAAATATTTCAGTTATGATAGATGATTGATAGGGAGGGAGGGAGGGAGGGAAAGAAAAGGAAAGAAAGAAAATTAGACTCTCAGTTGTGGAAGGAAGGAAGGAAAGAAAAGAAAAAAATTAGACTCAGTTGTGGAAACTGACATAGCAACAGGTCCTTCTACTGTGTGTTTCTCTTAGTCCTATAGAAAGATGATTCCATCAAATCCATACAACAAATAGTCCTATGAGATAAACTTTATTGTATTTTATAGATTGAGATAATACTTGAGAGAATTGAAAATACTTACTAATAAATCCCAAGTCCTTTCTTAATAAAGTGGTAAGGGGAAGAGAGAGAAAATAAAGGATAAGAATGATAAATGTTATAAGTAGTGAAATACAAGTATTAGAAAACAGAAAATAGTCTCACAGTAAATCTTTAAAGAGTGATAGGAAAAAGATGATTTTTATAGAAGGGAAGGATTTTTGTTTGAAATCATGAATCATGTCACTTAATAGATTCAAAATTCTTTATTCTACATGTCTTATTATATAAATCATTGTATGTGGTAAAATATAATATTTAACAATTTATACTATTGTCAAAAGCCAATACTACATTAGTAACACGAATAGACTCAACAAAATGGATATTGATTTGATTTTTTATATCTTTGGTTGGGGAATACTTTTACAGGCAGAATCTGAATTACAGAGAGCAACAATGGATGCTACCCGAACAACTCGTCATCTGGAGGAAACTATTGACAATTTTGAAAAACAGAAAATTAAGGATATAAAGGTAATTAAGAATTAAGTTTCAAAAAAAGTTTTCTAACCTTATTTTTTCAAACTTATGAAAAATTACTGATTTTTTAGACCATACTCTCTATGAAAAAAGATGTTATAGATCAAAACATATAATGTGAAAATAATGGTAGGCAAAGGAGCTGCATTTCAACCAGAGATTAGACATTCAACTTTTTATCCCAAAGACTGTTTTTTCAAGGAAAACTAACAGTATGTTTTTATGTATCAAATGGCATTTGATATGTAAATTATCTTTCAATCTTCACAATAGCCCCACAAGAATGGGTGGTGTTATTAAGAAATTAAGCAGAGAGCTTATAATCGCAGTATCTCAGGAGGCTGAGGCAGGAGGATCCCGACTTTGAGGCCAGCCTTAGCAAATTTAACACTTAGTGAGACCCTATCTCAAAATAAAAAAATTTAAAAAGGGCTGGGAATGTAGCCCCAGGGTTCAATCCACAATACAGAAATTTAAAAAAAAAAAAAATTAAGCAGAGGTATAATTTTAAAAATCTGTGGTTTCCATTGTAAAACACTATCATTAATATCTATTACACAAGACTTTCTAATAGCTATTATCAAATAATAGGGTAATAGCCAACCATATAAATTTTCATCCACCACCACAATAAGGTGTTTTAGTCAGTCAACAAAATCACAATCATTGCCTTATTTCTTGTAACACATCATTAGACAGAAACCTTTTTACAGGATCATAAAATTCAACAGGTCTTTGGTGGCTTTTTGTTTATGTATCTTGGAAAGAAGGACTGATTATAACTACTTTATATACTTTAAAAAATTCACCTAAGGATGTCTTTTTGGCTCACTGAAAATTTTCCAGTAGCAAGTTTTAAAATTTTTCTTCCCACTTATTACTAGAAAGAAGCTTTCCTGCTTTTATAAGATATAATCTTATCAATAAAATAAACATTATTTGCCAGTTAATTATATAATACCTCTCTGAAATCTGTGAAACAATACTCATTTGCATCTTTAATTTCCTATCATAATTTCAAAAGGATTTCAGAACTTTACTTTCTCAATTCAGTCACAGGCTTTGCACTCTGCTGTGTAAGAATCTAAGGAGGCTGCCCTGAGAAAAATGCTTTTACCAAGCTGAGAGAATAAAGGGGCGGGGGGAGGCATGAAGTTCTACAATTAATATCCTCTCACGAGAACTAGAGGAACAAGGCTTTTTTAGATATCTTTAACATGAAAAATGAGAATGGACACTTTGGAGGCATGCCTGATTCCACTGCTGCCTAAGGGCTTCCTTAGTTAGTAATGCGAATTGAGTTTCTCCCTCCACCACTGACTCTTCCTTGTGCCTGCAAAACATTTTTACACATGGAAATTCATCTCTGATTTTTGAGCATCACCAAGTTAACTATTGAGGCACAGAGGATGAGTGCAGAATTTCCAGAGAAAATGCCTGCTACTGGGATTTCCTGAAATGGGAAATGGAGGGGCTGTACAAAGAGCTTCCAACACCTTCTCCTTGCCTGCAGTATCATGCCCCTAAAAACAGAAAGTCCTCTGATGGTTCTGGGATGGGGTACAGGAAGAAACCTTCACCTTTAAAAAGTTGAGATAAGCCAGACACAGTGGCACATGCCAGTATTCCCAGTGTCTCAGACAGGATCAAAAGTTTGAGATCAGCCTCAAAACTTAGTTGTCTCAAAAAAAAAAAAAAGCGCGAGCGAATAAGCGAGTGTGACCTGGGGACTCAGCTCAGTGGCACAGCGCCTTGCATTCAATCCCAGTTCCAAATTCCAAGTATAAATTTACTGATTTTGTGTTTGGGGCCATCACCAATTTGAGAATATTTTCATCACCTCAACCTTGGACTGTCAGCTTCTAAATCCCTGCCTACCTCCCACACCTAAGTAGTCCATATCTTATGTGTCTATGGATTGGAATCATGCATAGTATTTTGTGACTGTTTCACTTATCATGCTTCCAAGGCTTATCCATGTTGTAGCATGCATCAGTACTTCTTTTATGGCCAAATTACATTCCATTTATTATATGGATATTGTTTTGTTTATCCATTCATCAGTTAGTAAATGTTTGGATTGTTTCTACCCTTTGGCTATTAAGATGTAATGCTGATGTAAATAAAAATTCATGCCCAGGTTTTTGTGGACATTTTTTCTTGCATACATACCTAGGGGTGGAACTATCGAATCATATGGTAACTGAGTAGCCAGACTTTTCCAAAGCACCTGCACCATTGTACATCCCCACTAGCAGCATATGTGGTTTCTAATTTCAGTACTTCCTATTCATCAGGCTTCTTGATCGCAGCTATACTACTACTGGGTGTAAAAAAAATAAATGGCTATTTCGATATTTTGCCCATATTTTAATTTTTTTATAATTGGGTTACATTTTTGAGTTGTAAGGGCTTTTTAGTGTATTCTGGATAAAAGTTCCTTATAAAAATTTGAAGTTTTCTCCCATTCAGTAGCTTATTCACTATCTTAATGGTGTCGTGTGAAGCACAAATTTTTAACTTGTGATGAAGTCCAGCTTACTTTGATTTGTTGCTAAGACTTCGTTACTAAATCTGTGATCCTTGTTTTCTTCTAATAGTTTTAGTTCTTAATACAAGAGTATTTGAGTCTTTTATCCATTTAATTCTTGTACATGGTGTGCACTAAAGATTGAATTTCATTCTTTTGCATTAGATTATCCAATTGTCACACTATCATTTGTTGAAGAGATCACTCTTTCGCCATTGAATGGTCATATCCTTGTTGAAAATTACATGTTTTTACTTCTGGACTCTTTCTCTCATTGATCTGAAATTATCCTATGCAGTACCACACTGTCTTAACATTGCTTTGTGGTAAGTTCTAAGATCAGGTTGTGTGAGTCTTCCTATTTTCTTTTTAGATTGATTTATCTATTCTGGAGCTATATTAATTGTAGAATCAGTCGGTCAATTTTCCCAAAAAGTCAGCTGAAATTTTAATAAATATTGCATCAAATCTATACATCATTTTGGGAATAACATCTTAAGACTGATTCTTCTAAACCATGAATATGGAATAGTTAGACTGTTAGATTTTCCTTTACGTCTTTAAACTATATTTGTAGTTTTCCGTATATGGTGAAGTAGTTGATGTGAGCAAGAAACAAATTTTAATAGCTTCCTTTTATTATAAACATAATATCATGATTTTTCCATAAAATTATAGAGACAAACAAGAATCTCAGCATTCAAAAAATAATGCTAGCATTTTGGTTTAGATCTTTCCACACTTGATCCTATGCACATATACCAGAGATATAGTAAATAAGATTTAATAACACACATCTCTTGGGCACTGACTATATAGCAGGTACCATTTTATGTAAATAAACTCATTTATTCCTCACAACATACTTATGAGGAAGGCACTATTATAATAAATATAAAATTTATTGTGGACACATTCATGGTAAAAAGTAGAGATCTGTGTCATCCCTTTTTGATTTACTCAGTATTTTGTAATATGGATATTAATTTAACCAGGCTTAATGAACATCTAGGTTATTTTGCAATTGCAGATGGCTTTTTTCAACCTTTGTTCTGGTCCAGTTATTCTCTTGGGATAAGTTGCCAGAAGTGGAGTTCCTGGTTCAAAGAACACACACACACTAATTGTAATAACAATTTTTAAACCTTATGTCTGCAAAGATTGAACAGTTTCTTTTCCTATCAGACTTTGCATAAGCATACATGCAGCTGATGGGTAAATAAAAAAAATCAGTATTATAATTTCATTAGTACTGTTAAAGCATTAAGTACTTTTTCATGTGTCTAATGATAAACTTTATTTCTTTAGGGGATGCTGCCCTTTTTTGAAATAACTCTTTACATTGAGAAAATTAACTCTAAAGAGATGTGTTGCAAATATATTTCACTTTTACTGCTTATGGCATTTCTGCCACCTTAAACCTTTGTTTTTGTTGCTAAGTCTATTGGTGGTTTTGGTTTCTGCCTTGGTGTCATACTAGAACTGTTGCTGTCCCCAACATTACATAAATATTTGCTTATGTTTTCTACTTTTGCGTTTTTAGAATATTGTTAAATATTTTTCTTGTAATTATGAGGTAGATATATAACTTTTTCCTTTTGATAGAAAGATCTGTTGTCATCCTTTCTTGAAGAGCATCTACTCTAAGTTTTCATTTCCCCTTGCTTGCCTGTTAATATCTTTTTTTAAAAGAAAATGCTAGTTTTTATTTTATTTTTTTTTCCTGCAGATCATACATTTATAGTATTCAAAAATCAATTTTATTAAACAAAAATATGTAGTGAAATATCTTACTCCACTAAACATCTTGCTGGAAGCTCTAATATTAGTTGGTAAATAATACTTTACTTTCTAATTTAGCCGATTTACTTCTTAAACAGGTGATATGGCTTGTCACTTTCACTCTCCGGTTTTCCCTGTAGGAGTTTCCACACTCTTAAAGGCATTTGATTCCTAACTGGTTAGCAATTATCTTAGGGAGATAAGCAATTAAGAAAGTCTCAGTCCTGGTCAGAAGCTATTCCACCTCTAAGGCATCCTTTGGTATCTGGCGAGTCTAAGCATCAAATCCAAAACTGTAACTTAGCATCATGCCGTTTATAAAAGTCAGTTGCTAGGTCAGTGTACCAAAGCCCTCTGTGACCTATATAATAAGTGAAATAAGAGTCATTGTTGGTCATAATTAACAATCTCTTATCCCAGAATACAGTTTTTGTTTTGTTTTGTTAACATCAGTTGGAGTTACTAAAATACCAGCTTCAAAACTTAACTGGAATACTTAAAGGCATGTACCAGAGAATTTGCTGGCATACATTTTAGTCAGATTTTTATTTTCATAGCTGTCAATTACCAGGTATAAAGATAACTGATAAAGAGTATGACCAGTAAACATTTTGTATAATTTTAAGGTTCTGCCATAAAAAGTGTTTATAAATATTTCTATTTTGGTGTATCTTTTGTACTTTGTCTTGTAGAAAAACAGGATACCTTTGTCTTTCATAAAATGTAAAGACTGTAGTGCGGAATAAGTACTTTTAACTACATTCATAAAACAATTTAAATGACTAAATACAAATCTTTGTTTTTCTAGAATATATTTTCAGAATTTATCACAATTGAAATGTTATTTCATGGCAAAGCTTTAGAGGTCTATACTGCTGCCTACCAGAATATACAAAAGATTGATGAGGATGAAGATCTAGAGGTAGGACTATGTCTAATATGGTTCTGTTAATATGAAAATGTTTCAAAGAGAATATTAGTTTGTATAAGTAAAAATATCTTAAAAATTAGAACACTACAATGGTGATTATTATGTGCAGTCCCAAACACATGACTTTTCTCATTTTTCCATTTATTTATTTTTTAACTTTTCAAATTAACCATAGTAAAGTTCCAAGACAATTTATAGTAAAACATAATCTACATCAAACTATTACATGAAATAAAAATTGTGCATTTTCTCTGGTGATATAAATACTAAAGTGTACTTAACATTGATTTGAGCAACATTTTGAATGTTTATGCCATACATGATACCCAAAGCTTTTCATTTATTTTCTTATTCAATCCTCTCACAAACCTATGAGATAGTTGCTGTTTAGTCGCATTTTACAACTACAGAAGCAGGCTTAGAGGCTTTAAGTTCATTATCTGTGACCACTTTGCTAATAAATACCAGGATCTGAATTCCAATTGGCTTTGTGTAAATTACTAAGCCATGAAATAAATTTAGGTTTTATGCAGGCTTGCTGACAGGAGTTTTACCTAAATGCAAATAATTCTGACTGTCCAATTAACAATTAACATTGGCCAATCAGTAAGTGTCAAAGCCTGGACTTCAGTAAGCACACCCAAAGAGCAAATGCCCTACCTTATCTTTCCAAAGGAGAAAAAAAATGGCTTGAAAGTGTTTTTGCTAAATGAGAGAAAATATTCAAGTTAACCAGAATTCTGTATTAATAAATGGCTGATTTGGGAGTGTCTCCCATTTACAGATTCTGCAGACTACCCTCCCTCCCCATCTTTTAAAAATATTCTTAACTATCCATAAAAATATCCTCTAAGCCTTCTTGTCTGATTACTCAACTGTTTCCAGGAAACTAATAAAATCAGGGCGCAGCATAACTAAAATGAAGAAAGGTTCATGTTTATTATGTTTGTTTCTGATTTTATGTCAGTTATGCATGTGATCATAGTTATATATATCATTTGTTAACAGATGACCTCATAAGTGTAACCTGCTTTAAATACTAAATGTTTTTTTCACTCCTTTTCATATTGTTTTCAAAAAGAAAATTATTAAGTTTTTATCTGTCATTTATAAAATAGCAAATGTTTCTATAGTGATTACTTTGGGCTGATTTATACATTTTGGCTATGCTAGTTATTTTAATCTTCCTATCTTCATTTCTATGGATCAGAAAACCAAATCACAATGAAGTTGAACTTCCCAGAGATCCCATAGCTTGTTAAGTAGCAGAGCTGGGGGTCAAATTCAGAGGTCTGATTACAAAGTTGTTTTAATCCTCTACACCATACTACCAGAAGTATGATTTTGGGTGAATCACACGAATCATTTCCTGCAAGAAACAACACTGTACTAAGGGGCAGGTTAAAAATGATCCCCTACACTTTCAGTCTTTTTCTAATACCTTTCATATTCCACTTGTGAACTGATTCTAAAGTTCCTTCAAGTCCTTTGTTCCCTAAGACTTTTTCCCTCTCATTCAGGGGCTTCCTTTGTAATTCCTCTTACCACTACTCTTAATCACCTCTTAATCAGTCTATGGGAGACAGATCCATGAAAACTAAAGGTCCCAGGGTGTGTGGTAGATGTGTTTTTAGTGGTACTCACAGATATGATTTATTACAGCAAAAAGCACATAAATAAAGTAAAATCAATATGGGGAGAAGGTGAAAGAGGCAAAACCTGGAGGAAACCAGGGCTAAGCTTCCAGGATCCCTCTCCCAGTTTATTGAGCACCTGTGTTTATTGAGCACCTATAACAGGCATCATTCTAAGTGCTGAGGATTTAATATTGTGAAAAATGGTCTAACTGATCAAAGCAGGAATTTAAAATATACCAGGAAGTTCAAACATTAAAACAAAACAAAAAAATACTGTGTAGCTGTTTAAGTTTTAAAATTCCATTAAAAAAAATGCTGTATATGATAATAGCATTCCAAATAGTCTCCAGAATCAAAGACTTGAGAGATAAGGAGGATGACTGACAAAAAAGTCCTGGGGCAAGCTGCTGTGAATATAGAGCAGTGTATTTTAAATAGTTCACAGTACAGGGGAAAGCACATCTTCAATAAACCAAAAGCAGTAAGAAGGTCCCAAGAGGATAAGGATCCTATAAATACAAGGATTCTTGGAAATACAGAAAATACACAGGGAGGGACAGAGAAATAATTCACTGTTCTTCCATGTAGTCCATGTTCTCTGAGAACCACTGAGATGATATTTCAGCATCAGTCAACTTTTTACAGTTAGGCACTCTGATTACATTCAAACTATCTTACCTTATTTGTTCTTCACATAAGTAATGTTGGGCCCCTTCAAATGTTTTCCCCTTCAAAAATCACTTCTATGCAATCATTTCAGATCTTGAGATCCACACCTAGAAGAGATCTTGGATCATGTTGGAAAATGCATTATTGCCAATAAATTAATCTTTCTGTTGATCTGTTCAACAGCAGATTTGTTGTTTTGCAAGAGATTAATTGTAATAAATATTTAACTGTTTTAAGCTTATCCTAAAAGTTCCATGTTTTCCATTTTCTGCTTATTTCAGTCTTTGCTAGAGATGTTTAAAATATTCAAATAAAAAATATCAATTGATTAATAAGTCATCCAGTTTTTATATCATACCTGGACACCAGTGTTCTGTCTGGCATTAAAATAGAATTTAGTCCTTAGAAACCTGCTAACCTAATTAGTATCCCAGAATTGCCCTAAAATACAAGTTTTGTCTTCTAAGTTTCCTTTTGTGTCTTGCAGTTCTTAAAGGTTTAAAGGAATGTGTATAGAAATCACTTGATTTGGGTCTCCTTTTTCTCTCCCCACAAAATGGGGTTTAAGTTCATATTAAATCATTCTTTAGGCAAAAGTGAATTAAATTATCTATTGGGAGGACTTGCAAAAAGAAAACAGGGTTTCCTACAGTAGTTGTGGCAAAGGTTTAAAGGAATGTGTACAGAATCACTTGATTTGGGTCTCCTTTTCCCCACAAAATGGGGTTTAAGTTCATAAATTATCTATTGGGAGGACTTGCAAAAAGAAAACATCGTTTCCTGCAGTAGTTGTGGCAACAGATACTTAATCCATTAAAAACAGACATAACTATATTCTTGAGAATAAGAACAGTAGGAGCTACTGACCAGAAAACAGGGGAAAGCAAAAGATAGCATTTGACTTGGCTCTTGAAAGATGAATGAGTTTGCCGGGATCCCAAGCTGAGGAATTGCAAAGGCACAGTATGACATTATATATGTTCTCCATATAAGTATGTAGACTACAAGTGATGAATGGTAAGTTTATTAAGCCTTGGATGTCACCTAAAGTATTTGGTCTCTGGTACTACCAGAGTCAACCACCACAAAATGTTTTTTAATAGAGAAATAATATGGGGCTGGGGTTGTGGTTCAGCATAGAATGTTTGTCTAGCACATGCAAGGCTCTGGGTTCGATCATCAGCACCACGTATACATAAAGATATTGTGTCCAACATCAACTAAAAAAATAAATATTAAAAAAATAGAGAAATAATATACTTTTGGTCTTCAGGCAAATCTAAGTAAGCTATAAAGAAAATTCTATAGTCTGTAAAATTAAAAGTACCTCAGGTAACAAATTTAGGGAGAAAGGCTTATAGCTTGGTCTACTAGGTAATATAGATATATAGAAAGGCTAATGCCTTTCACAATAAAATTAAGTCTAGAGCTGCACTGCCCAATATAATAAGCTACTAGGTATATATGGCTTATTTTAGGTTATATAAGTTAAAGTGTAAATTCAGCTCCTCAGCCACATAAACATATCAGGTGCTTAGTAGCCACACATGACCAGTAGCCATCTTTTAGGACAGCACAGAACATCAAATATTTCCATCAAATCAGAAAATTCTATTTGACAGTGCTAGTCTAAAACAAATTTGAGAGAATGAAATGTGTTCATCAAAACAGAGTATGTGGAGTACACAGAGAATTAATTGAAGGTGAGATAAGTTCTTTCAGAGAAACATTTTTTTAAAAGAGTAGCCTAAGGGAAAGGGCATAAGCAATAGAAAGGAGATATGAATAAATCTAGCTTTCAAAAATCTAGCCAGCTAGCACAATAAAAGAGGTTTCTAATGCCATGGAAAAGAAAAGTTTCAGGATTGGACAGGGAAGACAAAGACAAAGATTTTGGTGATTTTGGTAAGGGATTTTTGTGGAAAGTGAAAGCCCAATTGTAGTTTGCTAAAAAATGGAGATGAAGTAGAATATTTTAGAAAAATTTAAGAAGTAACACTGTACCTTGAAGTTTAAAAATATATATATCTGGAGCTCATTTTCTAAAGGAAACCTTTGAAAAATGAACAAAATTTTTGTTTGTAAATTTAAAGTTCTAAAGAAAAAATACACATTGGAAAGGATCAGGATGCTTGCTTTTTAAAATAAGGATACATTGAAGAGTTTGAAGAAAAAGGGAAGTTGAAGAAATTCACACTTGTTAGTCTGTATGTTAGAGCTATGGGGAAAGAAAAAAACAGAGATAGGATCAGAAGTTTAGTAGAGTGCTAAGATTTGAAAATACTCTCTTAAGGGAATAAAAACTGACAGGTCATGGCATTCCAGATCCTAATGAGACTGGAATCCATGAATTAATAGTGGCTCCAGTTTACTCTTATGTGATTTTCCATAGCAATTCTGCAATGAAGTTAAATTGATGAGTCAAGAAAAGGCAGAGCAAAAAGAATCAAAGGTATGAGCTACAACTGCCTTACTAGCTTGCATACTCTTTGAAGACCAGAACTTTTGCAATTTCCTGGTAAAAGCACGCAAGTTTTTGTTTCATAATTAATTATTGCCTATATCCCCCTTCATTGTACACAGTTCCAGTGGATAAGACTATCGTCTTAAACTCACAATAATTCAAATTTTGTCCATGAAGGGTATGCTTTAAAAAATCTTGATTAATTTGACTGTCTAGATTTTCATTTAGTATCTCCTTTATAAAAATACTGTTTTATCTTTGCAATAGGTTTTCCGAAATTCTCTGTATCCACAAGATTATTCATCTCGTTTAGATATTGTAAGAGCAAATTCAAAATCACCTCTGCAGAGATCACTGTCTACTAAGTGTGTATCTGGAACAGGACAGGTAAGCTAAAAACCATTTAAATCCAAATTTCTGCCTTTGGAGGTTTTCAGTATTTAAAAATGTTTCCATTAGGTCATATACTTTACTCTATCAGGAGCTATTTTCTGTTTTGTAAAGGACAGAAAACTACACTCTGTTATTTCTTATCTTCTATAGTCACACATTATTCTCTGAAACAGAACTCTTTGAGAGCAGAGATGAAAAGACAGAAGAATGCTAATGTAGATTTGTTGTCTGGTATATGAAGAGCATAGATTGTAAATTCAGTTTAAACCTCGCTGTCATTTAGATTTACCCAAAAAATGAATTACAAAATGAATTACACTGAACATTTTCATGACTCCAGCAATACAGCTCTTTAGAAAAAAAAAGAGCCAGTTTTCTTTTTTCTTCTAACATACAGAAAGCCAAGAGTAACTGGACCGAGGATAGCATGCCAAACTATAGTCTAGAGAGCTCTGACCTTTCTGTATCTAGCCTTCACAATTTAAAACTGAACAAAATATTTTCCAAGTACAACTTTTAGATGAAAATAGAAATCTGACTAAATACCTTCTATTTTCATTTGATTCTCTTCTAAGCATTCATTTTCTACTTTATAGTTACGTATTTCTTCCCTCAACCAAATTATATTTTACTATCTCAGCATTAATGTGTGCTTTGCACATATATTCCATAAACTTAGTCATTATATTACATATAAAATTTTGACTATTTGAAACTAGTTAAATATTACCTAAGTTAACTTATGTTTGTATAGTACATTATCCTAGGATTTTCAACATTAGCTCTATTGACTTGGGACCACGTAACTTAGGAGAAGGGTTATACTATCCTATCATTGTAAAGATATTAATTAAACAGCATCCCTAGCCTCTACCCACAAGATGCACAAAAAATATTAACAGTTGAAACAACCAGAAGTGTCCACTAGGAGTTATAATCACCCTTAGAAAGGGTTAAGCACATGCCGAACGTAAGCTGGTGAATTCAGATTCTCAATTCATTCCATTTAAGTCCCACTATTTTTATATCAGTATTTCTGTGACATGCCTAGTTGAAATATCCTTCTGTTTTTGCAATCCTTTTGATGATTTACTAATGCTGTTTTTGCAACCCAAGAATTTTTTTTTATACATAATATACTGAGTCCATATTTTGTTACTACTTACTGGTAGCTATCTAACCAGAATTAAATGGTTAATTTCATATATATGATAAATTTCTATGTACCCTTGTAAGGGCATATAAAAAGATACCAAGAATGTAAAAATATTTTAATAAGTATCTTTATTTTTAAAATATTAATTTTTAACAGATAGCTACCTGTCGGCTAAGAAAGGATCAACAAGCAGATGATGATGATGAAGATGATGACGACTTAGATGTTACAGAAGAAGAAAATCAATTTTAAGTAAACCTTATTTCCATTTTCATCTTAAATGAATTGAAATTCTGGATTACTAAACTGTAAAACTTTATATTCAGTTGATGGGTTTCACCTCAAAATGAAATCCTACTAAAATGGAAAAATAATTAAAGAAATTTATGCTCACCAAAAATGAAGGTTTTAAAAAATGATATACTCTAGTCATTTCAACATTCTACCCTAGTGTTATGTGATTTTTTTAATATAAGTTCCAGTAAAAAAAAAAAAAAGATTATGTATTTCAAAACATTTCAGATTAATTCACTATACCTAGTTGAAGTTGCAACAATAGATAAAAAGAAAAAAAAGATTTTAACAGTTCTTCATGGCTTCTTTTTAAGACTCCCTGTTTTCAACACCAGAAAAGGTATGATTACAAATTCTACTTCATAAAGCCTTAAATAAAAAGCTTTTTTTCTCTTTTACCTTTATTAAAACCTATGTGTCATTTGATATGTAAATTTACAGTTTTCAACAAGAGTGTAATCAAATACAGTAAAGGTACTGAGGCATTATGACAATAGGTTTTACAAGTGTCCATAAAGCTTATATTTTAGTCTTAAACAAAAGTGCTATCATACCAAACAATTATATGTGGTACTGCAATTTGGAAAAAAAAAAGTAACTTTTTGGAATGTTGCCTTATCTTGGAATACCATGAATCACTAAAAAACTCTTTAAAATTTTGCCAAGCTATCATCTAGTTAATGAAAGGTCATAAAGTCATTCTATTTCCTAAAAATATAAAAAATTTAATCAGAACATTTTAGTATATATACTGCTTTTATTTCTTTTAGGAAGAAATTATTCTTTTGTTATTTCCTGGA